TCATCAAGCAACTGGCCATGCTACGCCACGCGTCTATCGTGTTTCGTGACCCTTTCTCTATGCCTCCACCAACGGACAGGATATGCTGTTGGCACCAACTGCGCGTTGTGCCCGCCCGGCCGCTTGGAAACTGGGAAGGGCTGGCTCAGGGAGCCTACCGACACATTGGTCCCTCCCTAACTACGTACCTTGGCACCCGACTGTCGGTCGCTGCGAATGCGACGGGCGGAGCACGCGACGGATAGTTTGGGTCGTGTGTTGGTTCGGGGACGTTGATGCCACACTCATCCTTCTCCCTTTCTCGTTGGCTACCATGCCAATCACAAATTGACCAGAGCACCAAGTCACGTTGCAAACTGCATCAAGGAAACGTCATCTCAAAGTCAAAACAAGCAGTGAATTTGCTGGGTACGCCGTGTATAATGCAGCAGCGCAAATAAACGAAAGGGTATATCGAAAGTTCTCTCCAATCCGACCAGGTCCCACCAGCCAGCGAGGCGAGGCGAGGCAAGGCTAAGCCCGCACACGCCTCTCCCCTCCCTGGGCGCGCGAGTACCTGTCCACCCACGCCCCAATGTCCCGATCCAGGTCCAGCGCTGCTCCGCCCCTGTTTGTGCGTCTGCGTCTTGTCTGAACTCCTTCTTTCCTCTTGTCCCGTCCGTCTTTCTGTCTGTACGAAGCGAATGTTGTAGAAGCGAATGTAGAATCGAAACCGAGACCCGAACCGAAGATGCAAAAACGCGAAATTCCAGAAAAAAAAAAGTATGTCCGGAAGCGAATGAACCGATGGTGCTCTTTACAACTCCTGGGCCGCCCATTTTCGCGGCCCTGATCCCCAGCTTTGCTTGCCTGCATGCGCTTCGTGTGTTGCCGCTTTGCTTTTTCTTTCTCTGCTGATCATGTTCCGTGGACATGCTGGTGGACCTCTTTCCTGTGTGTCACGCACACTCTGGCTAGGCCGCCAGCCGTGTCACCCTTGCCTTGTGACCCGTCGTTTTCTCTCTCTCTCTCTCTGGTTTCTCCCTGCCTCTCCCCAACAGTCCGCGCACACGCCGTTTTCCCCACTCTGGGGCATAACGGGGCCGCTGTGCAAATCATTGCGTTCCGTGCTCATACTCGTCGTCATCTCGAGTTGCGGTCCTCATGGGGTTCTGGCAAAACGCCTGTCTAGATTGTGATGTACATGTGGAATAGACACCGTGGCTGTGGTGTCCTTCTCTTCGGGGTTGGGTGCTTTCTTTTTCGTCTACGTGTTGCGGCGCTGCTTGCACTTGTCGTGCAGCAGGTGTCCGTTGCGTGCTGTCGTCCTGGTGAACTCGGCACCGCAGTTGGGGCATGACGCCTTGCTGGCCTGACCGGACTTCTCTCGTTGGTGG